GAGTCATAAATACTCATAAAAACTTATGATTGAAATGATATGTATTATAATCTAATCGCAAATATATGCAAGTCGGACTGCCAATATATATAATTTAGTTAACAATAACAATTTAACATACCTAAATACATACATACACATGGAAAAGAGTACTTTTTTTTATACAAGTTGGCAAAGTTCAAAAGGTTTTCGGTTGATAAGTGCAAAATGGACTTTTATTATTAATAAAATAATAAAGTAAATAAATGTCAGTAGTGTTATTGAACTTTGTACCACGATTTGTTTATTAGGAAAAATTTAAAAAAAAACAACAAAGTCTAAGCTGCAGATTTAATATTTATTATCAGTGTATTTAGTTGGAAATCCTCTAAACCATTCTAATCACTCGGCATTAATAAAAGAACAAACAGCGGAATATCTGTAACGGTATTTGAAAGCGTTTACAGAAAAAATAGTCTCGCTAGATAAAAATATTACCTTGACCTTCAAAAATGGAAGTCTTTCAAAGCAATGAACTTTTTAAAAAGCTTCAAACACATATTTTTGCTGTTCTTGCATCAATGAATCCATTGTCATGGTCACAAAAGCTAAAAAATACATTTTAGTTTTTAAGGTAAAAAAAAACACATAAGTCAAATTTTTGATTTTTTTCTTTTCTTGACCTACAAACAGAACGCAATGAATTAAAAAAAAATACAATATACAAAATAATATATGCTTGAAACTTTTTAAAAAGTTTATTGCATACCTTTCTCAGTTCAAAAAAGACCAAATCCATAGACCTAGTGCTTCATAGTTTTCTCCAATACACTAGGGCTGCCAGACATCATGGTTTTCCAAGATTTGTCCTGATTTAAACAAATTGTCGTGGCGTCCTGGTCCACACTTAATTTGTCCTGGTTTTTTATTGAAGATCAATGCGGACACCCATCTAATTTTTAGCAGATTTTTTGCTTTGAAAAATAGGTTAAGGTTTCTGTCATTAGTAGTGGAGAATCCTTTCTCCTTCCTTTTTTGTACAGAGTGGCATAGTGTGAAGTGGGCTTCTGCTTTCGCTACCCAAATGAGAGCTTCCAGAAAGGCTTTTATAGGGAAGGCCTTTCGAAGAAGTTCTTTTAAAGCTGTTTTTATTTCATAAAAATCATACTTCTTTAAGGAATTTAAGTATTTAAGGTTCAGAGCAAATAAGTTTTATTGAGACATAAAGTGCTTATTGAATCCTATTTATAATGCTAAATTATAAAAACATATACTTAAGTACATTCGCGTAAATTGTAAATAGGAAACCCCTTTCTAGGAAGCATGCAGGGAAGCACTGTTTTCAGTCCTTATTGGATAATTCTATTAGAATGGCTTCACTTCAGACAGTCTACCTAAATTATCTCTAGCTTATGCATCTACAAAATGGCAAAAATTATCATGAAAAGCATTATAGGATTTGTGGAAATTTGCCAGAGCAATAACTTTTATTTGAAAGAAAGCAAAAACAGAGCCATTTAAAAGGCTGTTAATAGCGATAAAATATTTTAATATTTCATTCGAATTATAACTTTTTTCTCTTTGACGGTAAAATATGTTTTGTCGACATATGCCAACTCAATTCAACTAACTCAATTTTTATTACAGTTCCCGACACATGGGGCCGTCTACCCGTCGGTTTGATGTGGGGTCACGCACTGAGCTTCGGCGCCTATGAAGAATGTTTAGCTGCTTCTTGGGAATTCAGTACGGATGATGTATTACGCGGTCAATATTGTTTGGCACGCGTGCCAATCAAAAAATATATGGACGAGATTAAACCACGTCAAGTACGTAGTCCAGCTAGGATCAGCTACAAATATTCAAAGCCAGAGACATTTGAATTAGGTGTTTGTATACCAAGTTCATGTTCAGCTGAATTGGGTAATAAAATCTTGACTGGCGTAATGAATAAGTACTATGATGCTGGCATCACTTCAACGATGATGCAAGAAAAATATTGCAAATATGAAGAGCCCGTTAAATTTCGAGCGATCGATATCTTCGCCATGTGAGTGAGCTAATCAATTATATAATTATTTATTACAGGCTCTAATTGGTAATGCATATACTTGAAATATTTTCCAGTGTTTTCTTCAGTTTCATTGTATTCTGTATGATAGCTAGCAGTGTTTACGATTACATAAAAACGAAAAATAATGGTAAGTAAAAGCTTATAATGCTGCATTTACACTGGGTATTAAATGCCAAAATTTGGAATTAAAAATATTCTTGACAAAAATATTCATTAGCAAGGCTATTCTGGCAACCATCTTTCGACTCACTACAGTATTTCGAAAAACAAAAGTCTTCCGTAAGACAATGCCATTGCTATCTCAAAGCTCTTTTCTTTCTTTGGAAATACTAGTAGAAAGATCTGCTCTCCTGGTTAGCGACCTCCTGTTATTCTGTTTGTCGTTTAGGCATAACTACAAATTAAAATTAAATGAAATAAAAAAGTAATATAAGTCCATGAAAATTAAGTTACGTGATAAAACCTTTTTTTAAATTTCAAAAATTCAATTATAAAACGAAAAAATAATATAAGTTTCTGAATATTAAATGACATTAAAAACATATTTTCCTTTTACAAACAATTAAATATAAAAAATTTAGGGATGTTAAATAAAAAATGTTATTAAAAAGACAAAAAAAAAATCAAAAAATTAAATTAAATCATAAAAATATTTTTCTTTTTAAAACAATAAAATCTAAAAATTAAAAGGACATTAAATTGAAAAACAAAAAATACATAAGATAGGTTTTTAAAACAATAAAATTAAAAAAATTTAACGATAAATAAGTTACTAAAATATAAATGAAATAAAAAAAAATAAAATTAAAAGAAAATTTTATTTATTATTTTATTGCAGTGCATGAGTTAATCATATTTTTAGAAAAATTTTGGGTATGCAGTTTTGTAGTCCATACAATTTTGGTATAGTTAGGTGCGAGCTTAAAGTGGCTACAAAATACCGTTGATTTTTAAACAATTTTTTTTTTGTTGACAGAGCTGCATATTTTCGTCCATTTAAAACTTTTGTCAATCATACTTTTCATGGAAGAAAATGTGTGATCCTGTCAACAAAAAAAAATCAACGGTATTTTTTAGTCACTTTAAACTTGCACTTTGTTACACTAAAATTGCGTGGGCTACAAAACTGCATACCTGAAATTTTTCTAAAACCATTATTAACTCATGCACTGCAAGTCATTATAGCATGGGATTGTTGACATGTTTTTTAAATTTGTATAAAATTTTTAAATCGGATTTACACGTAGAATATGCTATATTTTTATAAAAAAAAATTAATGAATTTCAAACAAACAAAAGGAAAACATAGTATTGCCTCATCCACAAATAACTTACATTCATTACAGAACCCAAGAAGCCACTTTTTGTCGCTTTCTCCGTACTCACTAATGCGCCAAAGATATTCACTGTCAAACAATCAAATAATCCCAATGTTATACAATGTCTCAACGGCTTGCGTTGTTTCTCAATGATGTGGGTCGTTTTTGGTCACGGTTATATGACATTCTATGAGTTGCCTCACATTAACAGAGATAAATTCTATACCGTAAGTGTTTGAAATAAATTAACTTAAACTTAAATTAAAATAAACTTCGCTTGCAGTGGGTTGAAACTCCCTACTCTATGTTGGTGCAAAATGCCACACTTTGTGTGGACACTTTCTTCTTCATGTCCGG